TTTTATTAGCCTGAGGTAAACTATTAACTTGGGGTCGTTTAGTACCTCTACGTCTGATTGTGACATTTTGAAACCCAGCATCACTATCCTCAGCACCAGAGTTCATATTATTATTGGAATCTTGAATTAAACTAGGAAATTCAATTTTATCAACATGAGAAACAGAATCTAGATTTGAGTTACTTTCAATTTTAACATCTTTATCTGAATTAGATAACTGAGAAATAGGAATGCCCACCCAGGGTTTAGAAACAGATGTTTTTTGTAAAATGATCTCAGATTCACTAGGAGTTGAACATTTTTTCATTTTAGAAGGAGCCAACACAGAATTATTAAAAGGTAATTTGTTTATTTTTTCATTCAGTGTAGATATTTCAATGCTGTGAACATCAAGTCTTTGCAACATTTTATTCTGTTGTGTAGAAATCATGTCCTTTATCTCTTCCTTCAAAGTATTGAAATTTAATTTAATAACGTTTTCAAAATGAGGAATTTTAGTCAAATTTACACTTGCAAACATGGGACATTTATCCAGACAGTTCTCAACTTTTAAATGATTAAGAACTGTAATACAAGCAATTAATTTATCACGCCTATGCAGACAGCGTGAAAAATTTATCAAATTTATCAATTTTTAAATTATCCAATTCAATTTTCAGTAGTTTTAAAGCAATAGCAAAATCGTCATTAGAATAAAACTCCGATACATTGCAAATAAATGTTTCACTATTAAATTGTAAAAAATTGTTCGACAAAAAATAGAGAACTTCGCTCACAACAACCGTTCGCGCCGCCATTTTTTTCATTATAAAGTATTTGAAAGCATAAATTGTTCAAGTAATAATGAAAGTAATACACAGACACACACATCTCAAGTATGCCAACCCAAATATCAATCAAACTGGATAATTGGCACGCCATTCGTACCTCATCTCAAACTCAATAGTGAAACTTGTCAAACAGAACTTTAAATTGATTTTTTTATTTTGCACCCACAATTTCCTGTGATAAAGTCAATGAGGGATAGGAAAGATGTTATAAGGAATGGATATGTTTGGGATGGATCTGGCAAGTTGTGCATAGATGAGAAGGAAAAAGCTCAGGTGTGGAAAGCCCATATGGAAAGGTTGATGAATGAAGAAAATGAGTGGATTGGAGATGTGGAATCCGCGGTCACACACGGACCCATAGAGAAGGCGACGATGGAGGAAGTAGGGAAAGCAGTTAGAGAAATGAAACTAGGTAAGGCGACAGGGGTTTCGGAAGTGGCGGCGGAACATATAAAGGCGAGTGGGGTGATAGGAATTGAAGTTATGATGAGTATTGCTAACAGTATGTTGGACGATGAAGGTATACCTGAGGATTGGCGACATAGTGTGTTGGTGCCGTTGTATAAGGGCAAAGGAGATGTGAGAGATTGTGGGTCATATAGGGGTGTGAAATTGCTAGAGCATGGAATGAAGGTAGTGGAGAGGGTGCTTGAGAGAAGGTTGAGAAATATGGTGACAGTTAATGAAATGCAGTGTGGGTTTATGCCTGGTAGGGGAACGGTGGATGCGTTGTTCATAGTGAGAATGTTGCAGGAGAATTATAGAAAGAAGAAACGAAGATTGTACACGTGTTTTGTGGATCTAGAAAAGGTTTTCGATCGAGTACCGAGGAAGGTCATTGAATGGGCGCTGAGGAAGAAAGGAGTGAGTGAGAGACTTGTTAAAGCTATGATGCAGCTGTATGAAGGGGCGAAGACAAAGGTGAGGGTCGGAAGGGAGATGTCGGACGCTTTTAGTGTTAAGGTAGGAGTGCATCAAGGATCAGTGTTATCACCGTTTTTGTTTGCAATTGTGATGGATGTTGTGTGTGGAAACATAATGGAGGGGTTGTTATTTGAGATTTTGTATGCAGATGATTTAGTCTTGATGGCTGATAGCATGGAAGAATTGCAGTTAAAATTTGACAGATGGAAAAGTGTTATTGAAAAGAAAGGGTTAAAAGTTAATATTGGTAAGACGAAGGTAATGGTGAGTGGGGAAGGTGGGGAGCAAGTGATAATTAAAATAGACCCCTGTGGGGTATGTGACAGGAGAGTGAAAGCTAACTCGGTATTGTATATAGAATGTCAGAAATGGGTGCATAAGAGATGTAGTGGTGTGAGGGGGGCACTGAAAAAGGTGGAAGGCACGTTCAAATGTAAGAAGTGTGTTCATGGTGTGATTAATAGGACGGACTCAAGGACGGGGTTGAGTGGTGGTATTGAAAGAGTGGAAAGCTTTGTTTATTTAGGGGTTAAGCTGAACGCGGATGGAGGATGTTTAAACGCTGCTACGACTAGAGTTCGTTTGGGATGGATGAAATTTAGGGAACTTGGTGGGGTATTGTGTGGAAAGAAATGGCCAGTGAAAATGAAAGGGAGGGTATATAAAGCTTGTGTGAGAGCAGCGATGGTATATGGTGGTGAAACTTGGGTGTTGAGGAGAGAGGAGGAAAGTGTACTGCAGAGGGCTGAAAGAGCTATGGTGAAGATGATGTGTGGGGTTAAAGTGAAGGATAGGAGGAGTAGTACAGAGCTGATGTCGAGGATGGGACTGAATGAGGACATTGTGACATTGATAAGGAGATCGAGATTGCGGTGGTATGGACATGTGTTGAGAAGGGATGAAAGGGTCGGGATTAGGCGAGTGTTGGAGTTCGAGGTTGAAGGAGTGATAGGAAGAGGTCGTCCGCGACTGGGATGGAGAGAGCAGGTGGAGAAGGACAAAGTGAAAGCAGGGTTGCGTGATACTGAGGCGAGTGACAGATGTGAATGGCGTCGAGGGGTATTTCGGTTTCATCATAGGTAACCAAACGGCAACCCCCGATCTCGGGGAAAATGTCGTCTAAACGTGTGTTGTTGTCTGTTGTTGAATTTCCTGTGATAAAGAATTCCATATAGGTATAGTTCTGTTAACAAATGCCATTCAACAGAAACCACCCTGTTGAAGGTACTCTCAGATGTATGTGAAGCGGTTGATGATGGAAACATTGCCATGATTGCATTACTAGACGTTAGTGCGGCGTTTGATAGTGTCCATTATGAGATTTGATTAAATCGGCTCAAAATATCGTACGGTATAGATGGATCAACTCTAGATTGGTTCTCGTCGTATCTGTCATCAAGAACCCAAACGGTGGTTGTGGGTGTTAACTGATCAGATGTCGCAAGTTCAGGATTGACTCGCGGGGTTCCGCAAGGTTCCGCAGGGATCGGTTCTCGGGTCGTTGTTGTATGTGTTGTATGCGGCTGATATTATTATGGTTGTTGAAGAAGTTGGACTTCAATGTCATTTATACGCAGACGACATTCAGCTATATGGTTTCTGTCAGTGAAATCATCACATGATTTTCGGCAAAGGATGTCGAACACAAAAGACATTGTTGGTAAATGGATGTCTGCTAATAAACTGGGGCTGAATGTTAAAAAAACTCAACACATCTGGCTTGGTACTCCACAAAGATTGAAATTGATGAATGATGCACCGGTTCACTTGATTGAACAACTAATACCGGTATCAAAGTTACATGGACATCTTAGGTCGTCGGACCATGGGGATCTGGTTATTCCGTCCTTTAGTTCTTCAAAATATGGACGGCGGAAATTAGCTGTAATGGCTTATGAAATTTGGAACTCATTTCCTGTACAGTTGCGGGATGGTTCCATCACAGATCGGCGGCTGTTCAAAAAAACATTGAAACATCATTATTTCAACATTGTACACCAAAGGTCTGAGGTCTTTCGAGAGAGGCGCTATACAAGTTCTGATACTGATATTAACTCATGTTTGTTCTAACCATATTTCGTTCTAACTTTTTATTGCTTTTTTTTTAAACAAAATAATCAAATCTCCTCTAATAATACGAAACTTTAGTGTGGATATATTTAAAAACCTCAGCTTTTATTGTATTTCATACCACGACATTCATACAACAATTTTTTTTTTTTTTTTTTTATTAGTCTTTATTATTGCAGCTCTGACATACGCAGAACCACTTACAATGTTACAGATATATATTATCTATATATCTTTTATTATGTTCTAAATATCTTCATCCATTTGAAGCAGCCATCTTCGCCACAAAGGCTGTTCATCCTTTTCACACGACGTACACATGTATTTATGTGCACGCGCAAGCACCGCATCATATACGCTGAGTATATGATAGCCATTGAGATATTTGACACAGCGAGCATTTGAACCACTGAGCCATCTCGCGGCCAACATGCGACGACTTACATTGTCTACCCATTTACCAGCTTCGAAAGGATGGACGGCTGGGTTGACCGGGGGTCGGCTACCCGGATAAACCTGCAGAAATTGCAGAGTTCAAACCCGGGTCGTGGGAGTGGTAGACGGACACGCTAACCACTCGGCCACGAGACCCCAATTCAGTAACTTTTTTCTGAACTTCTTCATTTTCCCAATCAAACCAATTTGCCACGGTGACCATATACTGCAGATGCATAATCTAGTTTTGAGCTGACCATAGATTTATATAAAATAAAAAATGGATAAATAAATAGCTTGTTTGAGTTCCTCATCGTCATTCATTTTGTGCTCGTTGTTCAGGCCGATGTTTTCAATCATAAAATTAGAAATTTATTATATTCTGCTCCTATAATTCTTTTGATTATAATTATATTGTAAATAAACTGCTCTCTAGTATTGCTATCATCTAATTTTTAAGAGATCAAGACGGCCGATTTAGGTTTTTATCGCGGGTGCGGTGCGGATGCAGATAATGAGCAGTGCGGACGTGGGCGGTTGCGGACGTTAACTCTGCAGATGAGGGTGGTTGCGGTTTGGAATTATTTTCTCTGCTTGGGGTTCTAGTATATAGCAATAAAATGAATAATAAAAATATTAGTAACAAATGTAAATTCTGCACATTCAACAATCACAACTTTACACTACAATAGACTCATACAACTTTTTGTCTTATGTTTTTTGTTTGTGTAAGATTTTACCTTATTATTCCATTTATAACAAATTGGCTTGTTTCACATAGTCACGGTGTGGCTGAAAGTTGCTATTATTGTACCATTCCAAATTTCAATTAAACACCACTTGTACCACGTTAATTCATTAATATTATTTATTTATTTATTTATTTATCACAACTGACCAGAGGGCCACAACGGACTTACCCAATCAGGAAGAAAAAAGGAATGTTATAAAGCTAGGCAATTGGCAAACAGATAAAAAGATCAACACAAAAAAAAAACAAAAAAAGAAAACATTAAACAGAAAGTTGCATAGTTATTCCTAACATTGTCACTAACACATAGATCGAAAAATAAGTAATTTTTAAAACGTTCGGTAGTGTTTGAAATACATACGAACATCAGATAATGTTAAAAAAAACCATTGTTAAACAAAATACATAATATATTCCATCAATAATTGGTTGATATATGAAAACAAAAATCAACAAATAAATTTAATGATCAATTGTTAAAAAACGCTTCAAATCAACAGAGAGTAGTTTGCGTCTAAAAACATCATAAGTTGGAGATGAGACAACTTAATCCGGTAGTGCATTCCACACTCGGACTACTCTGTTGAAGTAGAAATATTTGGTAGTATTATCGCTTGAGTTGCATTCACGAAGTCTCTTGCCATGACCACGAGTTGACAAATAATGAGATGGAACAAAATTATCTTTCAAATGTTGAACAGTGAGATTGTTAAGTATCTTGTATAATAAACATAAATCAAAAATCAATCGGCGATGTTCCAATGTTTTTATTTTGACAAAGTGTAAACGAGACAGATACGGAAGATGGTGGATTGAAGCAATGGCCTTAGTGAATTTCCTTTGAACTTTTTCGACATTAATAATTTGATATTTATAGGACACCAGACAGTTGAGCAATATTCTAGTAGAGGACGGACATAAGTGCAAAAAGCCTTGTTGAGCAAATCTTTATCCTCGATGTAAAGCATTTAATAATAAAACGAGCACGGGTAGAAGATTTATGCGCAATGTTGTTAATATGTTGTTTAAAACTTAGTTTATTATCAAATATTACCCCTAGACCTTTAAATATTCGACAGGTGTCAGAATGTGATTATCAATCACATAGTGATTTATGGCAGTAACATTTTTTGAACATGGCAGAAATGAGCAAAGAGAACATTTGTTAGGAGAAAGCAGTAGTTGCCATCTGATGCTCCATGCGATAACATCGTTGATGACCTGTTGCAGTTGGAATGAATTTGATGAACCGGCATACAATTTGATATCATCAGCAAAAAGCAGCATAGAGACATGTTGAGATGAAAGGCAGTCTTCAATATCATTGACGAAGATGAGAAACAGGGTGGGTCCCAGAACGCTACCTTGGGGTACCCCACTTGTTACTGCAACTGGACTGGACAGTTTATTTTGAATCTTGACTAACTGTGGACGGCCAATGCCATATGCTTTTAGCTTACAGATTAGCTTTGTGTGCGAGACTGAGACAAAGGCCTTTTGAAAGTCGAGATAGACTATGTAACATCTTTCCTTTCTTTGGCGAATTAATAACAGATCGCTTAGAAATTTGAGGAGGTTAGTAGATGTTGATCTGGCAGGATCAACCACGAAAATGACATGTTTTTAAATATAGCACTCCAGATCCTAACCTTCTGCGAGAGTATGATGTCCAAGTGATTACATCATTTTAAAAAAAAAAAAAAAAAAAAAAATAAATAAAAAATATTGTTCCGGTCTGCTTTAATTGAATTTGTACGTGGCTACGTGTTATTTTTGAGATTAATCTTTTTTATTAAATTGATATTAGATTTTTAAATAATGATTATTGGAAATATTTAAACGTAGCGTTTTTCCAGTTTTTTTTTATTGTTATTACAATTAGGCCTACTATTATTATCACCACCACTACTAACATCACCATTACTATCAACATTACTATCAATATTTTTATTACTATTATTATTATCATTGTCATTACAATTATTTACACCATTATTTTTGCCATTGTTATTACCATTACCATTATTATTATCATTACTATTATTATCACCATTATTACTATTATTATCAATTTCGTTACCATTATCATTATTATTACCACCATTATTATCATCACCACCATTATTGTTATCATTATTGCTACAATTATTATTACCATTATTGCTATCATCATTATTATTATTATTATAACTATTGTTATCATTACTATTATCACTACCATTATTATCATCGCTATTATTATTAATGTTGTTGCCGTTATCATTACTGTTATTATTATCATTATTATTATAATTATTATTATTACTAAAACCATTACGATTATCATTATTAAAATTACTATTACCATTATTATTAGCATTATTATTACTATTACCATCATTATTATCACCACCACTATCATTTTTATTATCATTATTATTACCAGTACCATTACCATTACCAATATTATTATTACCATCAATATAATTGTCATTACCATTATTATTACCATTATTAACATTATCATAATTACCATTATTATTACTATTTTTATTAAAATTGACATCACCAGTATTATTTCACTATTATTACTATCATTATTTTTATTATTAATATTATTATTCTCACCACTATCATTATTATTACCATCACTATTATTACTGTCATTAACCACAGCAAAATTATTATTATTGCTGATATTACTATTTGTATTGTTGTTATTATTATTATTGTTAATTTGGAGACTGGCTATCAAGGGTTTTGAAAACAGTTTGTTATTGACATAGCGATACAAATTTTTAACGTTCGTTTTAGACAACAATTGGTTTTCTTTATTTTTGCGGTGTAGATTGGCTAAGTTGGAGCAGTAACAGGAAATCCTCAAATATTGTTCTTTATCAACTGGATTTGAACTTGTTCTCCATTTTCTCCAAATATAAAGTTTAGTTTTGTATAATAAGCGAAGTGCCCTAGGAGCTTGATGTTGCGACGGTGATAGACTGCGTCCAATTTTGGGAACAAAAATCGATATTGCGTGGTTGATTATTTGTTCGAATGTGTCCCAAAACATATTGACATTAAAACAGTGCTGAAAATGATAATTTCAATTTATATTAGACAAATAATTATTTATATCATTATAATTAGCACTGTTAAAATCATAGGAGTACGTTTTGATGAATAGGTTGACGTCTGGTGGGTTGTTGAGGAAACAGTTGATTTGAAAAGTGATGTTGTTGTGATCACTTGAGGCAAGCGGACTGATCATCTCTAACTCAGCCAGCAAACTGGAATCATCAGAAAGTACCAAGTCTAGGACATTTTGACCTCGAGTGGGCTGATCGACCAGTTGTTGCAGACCAAGTTCATTAAAAAGTTGAATAAATGAATTATAAATTGAGTTATTTGGTGAAGAATAATTGGTCCAGTTGATGAGTGGGAGATTGAAGTCACCTAACAAACAGTTGATATGACCTCTACACAGCTCTCTAATGCATTGTATGCTATCAGTGGCATTATCATCAGCCGACCTGTCAAAACCACCAAGGCGATAGTATGATATGAAGCGGTGATGCGTAGATGATATGGTAACATCAATAGATACTATTTCGATGTGCGAGTATTTAGTTGGTATTATGACCTTTTTGAAAGATATTGAGTTTTTTATGACAAAGCCCACGCCTCCACCACGTGATCCACGATCTTTTCTAACAAAAACGTATCCGGGAGGTAAAAACAAATTGTCACAATCATCTGGAGAGAGCCATGTCTCAACAACAGCAAAAAATATCCGAATCATAATCCGATAAAAATAAAATTAAGTCATTCTTTTTATTTTGTAAGCTTCTGACGTTAGTTGAGGCCAGCCGAAGAGGCCTGATCCTAACGAAAGGGCTGTTCTTTGTCAGCCTCCTCCGCTTTAGATTTGTCACCGGCTAATTTGGCAAGGCGTCGTGCCTGGCGCTTGATGTAAGCTTGTTCCGCCTGTCTTTTTGACAAATCAAAGTTTATAAAAATATTCCTCGTATCAGGCTTTGAACGTAGGATCTTAAGAGGATATTAAATTATCTACTGCCGATGATCCGGACAAGGTAACATATAGTTTTGAGCTGCCAATACTACGTGTTTTAACCACCTGTGGTTTGATCGCCAGATGTTTCTTACAGAAATCCAACACAATATCTCTGATTCCTGATTGCTCCACAAGACCAGAAATGATCACGTTATTGGCTCGGCGTTCCTCATCTTTACGCTCTCGTTCAACTATCCTCAGAGCCTTGGTCATTTGCTCAATCATTGGTGTCTCGTTGAGCCTCAATACCTGTTTCTGACACTCAGAGACACTGGTGGTCAATGTGGACATAGTATTGTGAAGTTGACACATTGAATCAGTGACGGCGTCTGACATACTTCTGACCGCTCGCTCGAAGCTATTACTGAGGACCTCCATTCGCAGCAATGTTGATTCAAAAAGTTTGCTCATTAAACCCTCCGAGTTAGCCAGTGATTTGCGCAAATTTTCGTTTGACTTTTCAATAACCAACGTCAGGTTGGAGTCAAACTTTTCAAATATCTTGTCAAGACTGTTGTTGGACAGAGTTATGACTTTTTCAAGGTTTTCGTTAGATTTCTTAAGCAGATTGTCGAAACACTTCATGGTGTGATCGTTTGACTTATCTAGTATTTTGGCCACAATACTTTCAAATGACTTGATGGGGATTGATGTTTGATGTTTAGTTGATGCCATGATGATACATATCAAAATTAGGATGTTTTAAACAATATTTTCAACGTTTAATTATTTAGTTCAGTTTAATAGTCGGTGAAAAAAAAAAATAAAAAAAATTTAACGCAGCGCAAAGCAATACAGAAATTCAAAACAAACAATACAACTTTGGAGACTATCCTATAACACAACTATATCTTTTACGTCGAGTAAACACTATTTATAATTGAATTTAGATAAACTGAAATAAATAAAACTAATTTAGCCGCAATTAATTAACTAACAAAAAATTATAACATTTAATGCAGCAAAACTCTGTCTATTTGACGAACCCAAATTCAAGAGAAAAATTCGAAAATATCCAGCAAAGTTGAGAAAAAATACAGAGAAAACGAAATTACGACCAATTTCAATTAAGAATACACACACATATCATACTTATTATCACACTTTTCATGGTCATCCCAATTTTCTCTTATTCTTGTTTGTGGAGAAGTGATTAAATTAAAATAAAGACAAATAATTTGTAATTTTAACACAGCACCCATACCTTAAAAATTTTTATGAGTTTTATAAAAGTTTTAATTAAGTTTTATTTATTTGTCTTTCACTGAATGTGTCCATAATCGTAAATTAGAAAAAGAGGACCACGGACTAAAAAAAGTAAATGTTTGACAAAAAAAGAGGACAAAGAAAACAATTTTTTTAAAAAACAATTTTCTTCAATAAATGTCACCATATACATACAAATTAAAAATTGAATTAAATACTCTGTTATTTTGATTAATATACTTAACAATAATAATTAAATAACGTTGGTTTATTGTTATCGATTTATATTTTTATTCATGATACTTATCCGAATTTGACACTTTCTTTAAAATTTCATCGGACTTTTTTACTTTCCTGTAAAAATCACTGCACGATACATTTTTGTAATTACAGTTTATCATTGCTAATGATTCGACGGTTGAAAGTTTTAAGTGGTTGCGCTTGTCCGTCCATTGAGATTCCAATAAAGAAAATACTCTTTCAGTGTTTGTATTATGCCCTGGGATGGCGAAGAAAAACGAACAAATTTTTTTCAGTTCTGAACAAAATTCTTCATTTTGTTTTTCATCAAAGTATTTTACCCACTTGGAAACGCAAAGGAAGTCTGAAGAAAAAATGTTATTTTTCCAAAATGCTCTCAAATTATGAAATTGGTCAAAGCATTTGTTTTCGTCCACAACAATTTCTTTTTAATTTAAGAAAATCAGTGTGTTTTCAACATCACACCATTGTGGTTCATTTTTCAACAACATCCACTTAAATTGTCCATTTTTCGAGATAGAGCAATGAATTTGAATAAGTATCTAATACATTACTTTTAAAATGTTCAGATTCTTTTTCAAATCCTTCATAATCATTATTGAGTCTAAACCGTTTTTTATGTCAAAAAGGCAAAAACTGACTATCAATTCTATTCTCCAACATTTCTTTCAAGTTTGAAAGTAAATTAATTACTTCAAAAATGGAATTTTCTTCTTTCTCCAAACTAGCATTTGTTCGATGAAAAATTTGCATAAAGGATTGCACAAATTTTAAATAAAAAATAGTAAAATAAGATTCAAATTTATCTTTCAAAAATTTGGGACATTTGTATTGGGAAAGGAAATAAGATGTTTCGAGCAGTTTCTGAATCATTGAAGACTTCTGAAATCAACTTCGTTGTGCAATCAGTTGAACGAAAACTTTGATGGTGTTTGACAGTGTGAAATGCGAAAACACATTCAGCGGCAGACACCCTCCTGTCCAAATCAGAAAATTTAATTATCACAAAATTTTCTATCGGCGATGAAATTTCACCTGATCTCACGAAATGCTTATGTTTTTTATTATCTAAATGCTGTTCAATATCAAATTTTCCTTTGTTAGCTAGTATAACCTTTGAGTTACATACCGTACATAGCACTTCCGATAAATTATTTTGGTTAATTATTTTCATAAATTTATATTTATTTTTAAGTTCTTCATTAAAAATACATTTTCTTTTTGGCATTTTAAAAGTTAATATAAACAAAAAATATTAAAATTGTTCTCGTTAAATTTGAACTAAAATAAACTAGCTTTATTAAAAAGCAAACATGCAACAAATAATGAATTAAATTAAAATTATAGAATTTTTTCAAAAATCTCTATGGAAACAGACTCAAAATGTTTACTCACGTTTGCCGCTTCTGCAAAAGAAGCGCTATACAATTTCATAATATAATTTTAATCTTTAGATTTCTGACATTTTTCAGAATAAATTTTTACAAAAGAAAACATTTAATTTAAAAACTTATAAGAATATATATTCATTCTGGATAACATTAACAAAGAGGACAAAAGAGAACATTTGCAAAAAAAGAAAGAGTAAAAAATAATTCAATGTAAAAAGAGGACATGTCCTCTTTTTAAGAGATGCTATGGACACCATAGTCTTTCAGTGAGTTGAATTATCATAGAATTTTCTTGACGTTCAATTTCTGGTTTTTTTTTGCCAAATAAACCAAGTTAGCCATTATTTGGTAGGATATTAGCTTTGGCAATGATGTTATTTACTTCAACAACTGATTTCACCTGATGCTCATACCATTTATCGGATGCCTTCAATTCCAGGTGCTTCAGCAATGTCCAGTGTGTTTAACTGGCTACTTTGTTCTGACGATATTCTTTTATATATATTATATTATATTCAGATGTTCTTTTTCAGACAATATTTTACGACTTGAATTAATATGATAAAAAGCTCTTCACATTCATGACACGATCAACATTTGCTATCCACTTCCTGTATTAAAATATTTTTTGTTATGTCTTGTATTTAAAGCTTGGTCCTGAGTAGCTATTGGCGAACTTTCTATTTCACCTTCCAAATTTGAGGTTTTGAGCCAAGGAAGAGTTTATTCTTGGTTTATAAAAAGTTTAGTATCGACGTTGTGCACAAACTGACCATGAAGTTGTTTTTGCTTATAAAGCTGAAGCTTTTCTATATTCATTTTTTTATTCTCTATATCATCACACTTGTATTTTTATAATTATTTTTTTGTACATCTTGGTAATGGAGTACATTGTTTGGTTGTTTTCTTGTTGCTCAACTAGATTTATGTACTTATATTTGTTTGATTTTAGATATGAGTTTGGTTAGATGATTGTTAATTTATTATTATTAACACTATTTCTATTTATTACTATAAATTATTATCAATATTATTACTATTAAATTTCTTAACAATTACGTATAAATAATCTAAATATTTGTGAACCGTTAGATTTATTATTATTAGTGTTATTATTACTATGAAAAAAGNCTCGTTTCATCTTCATTCTCACTTTTTTCAAAATTAGACATTGTTTACTTGTTCCTAATTGATGATGATCCACCTGCTTTTTATTGGTGATGTGATGTGGTCCCCTTTTTTTCTTCGAAATTGGTTTAGTTGATTTTTTATCATTTGATGATTTCAAGGCAGCCTTATATGGAGAACTGGTTATGATAGTAGCTGATAAAGCTATACCTATCTGTCGTAACCCCATTTTTAGCGGTCCCAATTTGTTTCTCGGCATGATACCTAAAAAAATATAAAAGGATGTATTATGGAACAGTCTGTTTCATATTACCACCAATCGCCATTTTAAAAACAAGTCCAATAATTACAATTTACAAGTATAATTTTAAATAACTATTCAAGAAATTTTAAAGTTTAACATATCTTCTAAATGACAAAATAAATAATTATATATATTATTTACTCATATAAATACAAAAAAATTTAAATCTTACCTATCAAAATGTTTAAACAACTTCGGAAACAATTTTGTGTAATTTGCAGAACGCATTTAACCTAACAATAACGCCAGCTGTTTAGAATGACCAAAGACTATTTAATCTTTATAATTAAAACAATTATAGATAGGTCATAACAAATCTTCATGGAAAAAATTGTGGTTTCATATTACAACCCCGTTTCATAATACCACCTTCTTTCCTATGATTCTAATAAATTTGCCTTATGAATTTGGGTGATAATTCTATTTTTAATAAATAGACGTTCCAAAAAATTCTAGTAATGAAAATTTAAAAAACAATTTTTAAATTGATTAATTTAGTAGAATTTATACAATACCGTATATATATAAATATATATGAATATTCACCCAGTACAGAGATGCCCCACCAC